CACGTAACCTAGTTGATAAGCTTCAATGTATGGCAGCAAAATATAAAAAGCAAAGTTGTCAGGCGTTCAGAAACACCTTTGTGAGCTACTGAATTAAATGAACTCTGCAAAATGCCTCTTAACAGGGACATTGTTGAACGTTTTTTGGGATTACATGATAAAATGAAGCAGAAGAAAATATTAATAGAATCTATTGCAAAGGAACTGAATTTAATTTGGGATTAATCTAATTTTCCTGACGCATCAATGCAACGCGTCCACCCAAAAATTGCCAATCTAATTGATACATATGTAAGATACAGAAAGAAAAAGGGTAAGAGATTTCTGGAGGAATTAGCAAGCCTCTTTGATATAACCAAAACTGATGGAAATTGGTTGCCCTTTAAAGACAAACAACTTTACCTACAGCAGATTAAATCACATGATACTGTTGGATACACAACTGCGAAGCTTGTACCAGTCTCAACAATTCATCCGTCTAAACGCCAAAAAGTTATGCAATCTTCAGTTGAGAAACAAGTCATGGTAACTTCAGATGAATCTCTGCAAGAAACTGATGCTGAAATATCATCTAGTGATGATTTTATACTTGAAGTGGAAACAAAGAGGAAAAAATATCAAAAAACCAAGGCTGCTGCAAATCTGGTTACTAAATGTTCTTTATCTACAAGACAATCATTCGGAGTCTGTTCTAGTCTAGCTGCTGAATGTTTTGCTAAGTTACCCACATCATCACAAACTGGAATATGGAAAAGAGTGGTCAGAGATGGAGTCAACACTGGTAGCAGAAATATTCTTTTTAAAGAATTTGAAAGAAAATGTATTATTAGACCGCAGTACATTGGGTGTCAACACCACATCCTTGACTTGGTTCTTTGACATTTACTTGACTTCTGTGTTTCAACAGTCTCACAGAAACCAGATATAAACTATGAGTTTGTTGATAACATTTGCAGTCAGTATGAAAACCTTCAGACAAAATATACAGGTGAAGTCAAAAATGCTTCCGAAAATGCTGGATGGAGGAGTGATTTCAAGTTTCTATTCGAACTTTGCGAGGCTTACAAAGTGCACAAGAGATGTGCTAAATTTCCAAAAATCAAGTGGCGAAAACTTCCTTTACTTCATAATGCAAGATGGAACTCTAGAGCAACATATGCTCTACTAGCTTATTTTCTTCTGGAAGAACATAGTCAACAGCTGAGCAGTATCTGCATTTTATATCAACTCTATGGGCATCAGCGTGGTTCTCTAATCAGCGTTTCACTGAACACAGTTTTGAAGAATTGCATTCTGCTGTTTCAGAAGTTGATTGCCAGAAAACAACAAAGTGTTTCCAAACGCATTGGATAAATCAGCCTTCAGTCATTGACATTACATGATCATTGTGGCTGAAAGAGCAGTCAAAATAATGGAAGACATTTACACTACCTGCAAAAGTGACAAGTACCTTAATGCTAAATTCTTAAAATTAAATTTACAATTGTGAACACTCAACAGTGACTAAAGTAAGTATATATTCATATGGATGTTTAAAATTTCTGTTTTACAATATTTAACTTGTGTGAATTAAGCATTGTAGCTATTTCTTTAAGGGTGCGCCAGATTTTTTAAAATTTAAACAAAAATTAAGTCATATTTAGATAAAAGTTCATCATTTGCCAACCCAGGAATCTTGATTGAAAAAAAGGCATATACCTAATGTATATATATACTTAAAAATGAAACTTAAAAATAAAAAGAGAAACCTTTACTGAATGTTTTTGGATATTGTTCAGCAGGAAAAACTAACATAGCTAAAATAAAAAAAAAAAGATACAGTTATACATTGTTATTTAAGTTTTATAAATTTTGTAACAATAAAAATAAAAATAAACTTTTTTGTAGAAGGTTTAATACTTTAACTATAATAACAATAATTATGTTCAGCAATTTTTATTTGTTTTTCTATTTTTTATATAGCATTTTATATGTTCAACAACATTTATGAAAAATTTATTTTATGTAAAAATTAATAGAGACCTTATATAATATAAGTCAATCTTTTCTTGACATGTTTGAAAAAAAATTTCAGATTTTTTTCATTACTGTCAAGTTTTTTTTTATAACTTTATCAACAGTAAATAATCTGTTCTAAGATTCTTTGTATCTCTTTATAAGCATCTGCATCAGCTGGATTATTTACCTTAACTAAAAACAATAAAGATCTATGAAGATCTAGAAGCAGACTGTGCCCATATGGAAGTGAATGCCAGTCCTTAATTTATTTTTTATTTAAACCAATCCCAAGTGACTTTTGGAAAATCTTTAACAGTGTAAGGTAAGTCGAACATTCTATCTTTAATTAATGGGTCTGAACTTAAGAAAGAATTATTTGCAAAAAACTTTCCCTCTAATTTATTTTCTGAATCAAATGACTAAATCCTTTCTTCTATTCCAATTAAACAGCTTAACTCATTGTTAGACATCTAAATTGCTAGAGCTTTTGTTGCAAAAGTCATTTCTCACTTAAACTCAGACAACACTCAGTCATTTCTCACTTAAAACATCAACATTTCTGTCTTACAACAGTGTTGTCCAGAAATCTCTTCAATTCTCTCTAAACTATTTAATAAGTACTTGACTGAATCTTGTTTTCCTGCCTGCTGGAAACATCATCTATATTTAAAATTTTTTTTAAACTCAGTCTACTCTTTATTATTTAACATCTTATTTTAAGTCTAATAACCAACCAATACAGTTTTTGATCAACAACTAACTTGGATGTTGGCATTCACTATACAATCTTCCTGAGAGTCTTTCATCTAAAAAGGGTCTTAAAAAAAAAACTTGCTGACAACTTAACTTAATACTACTGTCTTGATGAAAAAGATTTCTCTTTTTGATCGCTTCAAACAAACAGCCAAAACAAACTTGAATCTGATTTCTCTTCTGTAACAGCTTGGAGATTGCAGTGGCTTGTGAATTTTAACTCCAACAAACCTCAATTATTTACTGCAAACAACTAATCACACAATAATATCGACATTCCTATATTGATGAATGGCAACCCTCTCACTGGGTCCTCTTTGTTACATCTTTTTGGATTATCATTTATTACTGACCTCTCATTGAAACCATATATACAATCCATTGCAAAAGCATCTCCTAAAGTTACTTCTCTTTATTGTGCTCACCATTATCTTACTCCTGGTTCCATTCTCTACCTCTACAAATCTCTTATTTGTCCCTGTATTGAATACTGTTTTCGTATTTGGGCTGGTTTTCCTAATGATGCTCTTTCTCTTCCAAAATTGATTTGCAAATGTAGTTGGACCAGCTTTATCTGCCAAACTTGAGCCTCTTTCCCATTGTCATAAGGTTGTCTCTCTTTCTTTTTTCTACAATTACTATCACAGTACTCTTCAAAAGAGCTATTATCTTTAGTTACATCAATCATTCTTGCTTTTCTCATCAATCAGCTAAGTCGCATTCTTTTACTGTATTAATCCCTTCTTGCTCTAAAAACTTTTATTTCCCCGCACACCAATGCTTTGGAACCCTATGACATCTTCATGTCTTTCCAACTCATACAATTCAACTTTTTAAGCCTTTTATCAACCGTTTCCTTGCTCTTTAACACGATTTTTTGTATACTAGTAACTTCTAACATAATAGTGGTTGCTTGCAACTTTGTTAGGAATGAATTAATTAAAAAAAAAATTCTGTCAAACAATAAATATGAAAATTTATCAACTATTGATAATAAAATTGATGGTTAGCAAGTTACTCTATGTTATGCAATCTTCTTCTTCCACATCAATGAATTTTTTTAAACAGTTTCTAAGTACTCTAATAGGCAATGAATGAAAAATCAAGGCAAATTATAGAGGAGTTTAGTTAACATCTATTGTAAGTAAAGTGTTAAAATTTTATAATTAAAAATACAGCAACTGCAACAACATTATCTCAAAGTCCCAGTTTTTTTAGTTTAAGACCCCTTTTTAAGACTTTTTACTTTAAACTTTGGATATTTTTACTAAAACTATACAAGACAATTACCAGGTAGACAAACTGAATTGAAGAAAGCACTTAATAAAGTGCCACACTATCGACTTATAAAATAAAAATAAATGGCATACAAAGTCAACTTATTGCATAGATTGAAGCATGGCTCAGTAAAAGAAAGCAAAGAGTAATACTGGGTGATTCTATATCTGAATAAATAGATGTAGCTATAAAAAAGATTTGCTAATCAACTACCAAAAATAATTGATCATACAGCCCTGTAAAAAATGTCATCTAAAATTAAATTAATAATCTTAAACAACAAAGTTATGTATGAAAATTGAACCTCCTGCTAATGATGATAGAGATTAATACCTTGAAAAAAAAAACATTAGAAAGCAGAAGGCTTTTTTCCCATTTTCCCAGAACGTTAGAACAACTGTCCATAACTAGAGATTTTAATTGAATCTTAATCATTCTATTTGAAAAATGATATCGAAACTTAAAAAAATAGCAACAAAAGCTATGTTTTAAACAGCACACCTACCATATAAAGACAGTGACTGTGTTTGACAACACTTGAATTTATAAGAAAAGAAGGAGTTAAAGAGTCAAGAGAGACTTGTAACCATAATAAGGTAGCCTCTTTGACTGAAGTGTCCCTTTTGGACTCGGGGAGGTGAATAACGTTTAAAAAAAAATCAATTGTAATACAATCCAAACAGTTAGCAATACTGTGTTCTTCTAATTGAAAAGAGTTTTTCTAAAAGGGGCATTTGACATGTTTTGAGAAAAAAAAAAAGACAAAGCATTTTTTGAATCTCAACAATTTTATAATGGTAAATAAAGGTGATGAACAATTTTTTTATTCATACTAACATCGTTAGATTTGTAACTTTTTCAATAATGAATTCAAATGTTGAAAAAATCAAAATTTTATCTCGCTAAATCTTTTTTTTCTCCCCGTTAGAAAAATGCTCTTTAATTTCTAACCCAGGTCTGTTTAATCCAATCAATTTCTTTTTCGATGAACTTTATGTTCAAACAAATAAAATTTACTATGATAATCATTTTCAGAAAAATTTAAACTTAAATCAAATTATTCTGATTTAAAAGTGAAATTTGAGATAATAGTTTTTCTAAGGAAATTTTCATGGTGAACAGCATATGGTTTCCATGGTGAACAGCAAAACAGATTTGTTCAAAAATTCTATTGATTTTTTAATATAAATTAATGACTTTTTATTTAAAAAACATAAAGAATTGAATTTCAAATATTACAAATTTCGAATAGGTTAAAATTTTTAATATAAATTAATGATCTGGTGTATTTTGTTAAAAAATATAAAGACTTGGATTTCAATACTGATGAATTTCAATACTTATAGACTTTTATTTCATGATGACAAATAGAGAAAGTAAGAAATGAGAAAAATAAATAGAGAGGACTAAGACAGAGATAAATATACAGAACTAAAAAAAAAAAAGTCTAATTTCTTGTTCTTATGCTAAAAATAAACAATAAAAATGAGAAAAAAAAAGGTATAAAAAAGAACTTTTTCAAACTTTTAATTCAACCAAAAGTTTGAAAAATGCATAATTTGGAAGTCCAAAAGACAAATTACTAAACTAATAAATAAAATTACCTGATAAACTTGGTCCAATAATTAGTCCAAGGTAATAGCCAGTAAATAAAATTGAAAAAGCCAAAGATATATTTGTGTCATCACAAATGTCTACCAAAATACTTTTTGTTATAACCACCACTCCTTAACAATTATATAAGATACATAGTTAAATGTACCTAATGGAACCATAATAATCAAAATATTTTTATAATTTGTACAGTGAATGTTGAATACGCTTAGTTATTATTGTTAATTATTTATTACAATTCTGTAAAATGTAAAATTGTGATTCTGCAAAATAGACTTAAGCACAGGTAGTTTCCAATAGTTACCTGAACTTAACCACAGTTTAGCTTTAAAAGTGTTTACATTTTGTTTTAAATTTAGAACGTTTTGGTTTCGATTATAAGCTTAACTTTGTTTATATTTAATTATGTATATATTTAGAATGCATATATCTTCAATTAAAAGTTAAACTTTTTAGTTTATAAAAAGAATTTTTTAATTTTTTGATTTCTTATATATATACCTTTATTAAAACCTATACCTTATATATATTTTGGTTTTTTATTGTTACAAAAATAAATTGTAGTATTAGTAGTTTTAAATAAATTCACCATTTATTTTTGTTGGTTGTTTGTTTTCTAGTTTTCTTAGTCTGTTTTGAGAAGTTAACATTAAAATGAGTGATAAAACAGTTTTTGAAGTCCTTTGTCCTCTATTTATAAATTAAATTTTCTTAAATGTGTATTTTGAAAGTGTGCTCTCAAATATTTATGGGTAGCAAAAAAAAAATTTGAAGAATTACCCGAGTTAAACTGATATATCCTAAAAAGTTCCCCTACCTACATACAACACAACAAAAGAAAAATGTGAAATTTAATAACAATTGTAAAATCAACTAGTCATACCTGTTCAACTTCCTAATTTGAGGTTCACTTTTATTTTTTATTCATTTATTTATTCATATTTATTTTATTCATTACAAATCAACAACAATAACTTTAATAACTGTACTTGAAAAAATAGAATTTTGATCAAATGCTATTGTGAGGAAACGCTGTAGTGAAAATATAAATAACAATGAGAAACTACTGTTATTACAAATAACAATAAAAATAAAAAGTTATATTAAAAATTTTCTAACCCATTGCTGCACCTTGTAACAATCTTGTTACTAAAGCCCAAGTAAATGAACGACTGAAAGCAAATGCAAGTGTAGTAATTGCAGTGAAAATAGATGATATAAACAACAACTTCTTTTTACCATATTTATCAGCAAAGTAACCCCAGAAAAGGCTTTAAAATCATTTAAAAAATAAATAAAATGTATAAGTATAAACCTTATTATATATATATATATATATATATATATATATATATATATATATATATATATATATATATATATATATATATATATATATATATATATATATATATATATATACATATATATTAGGGTGGAGTGAAAAAAATTTTTGTTGAATATCTTGGTTGGATAGCTATAAAAATTTGCTGACATATGCAATTAGTAATGTGGCAAACAATCAAATGATTTAAAGCATATCTTGAGGTTCCACAATTGACCTGAAATTTTTTGAAATTTCAAGTTTATATATGACAACATATTTGTGTAGCAGTATACATTTTTAACAGTCTATACGAAAGTTACAAGTAAATAGAACTAAATATTTGAAAAGAAAAACACATGAAAACTCTAGTCAAACATGTTTTTATAGCTACAAATGATGTTGTGCTTTAGTGTATAGTTTCGGCATTTTTGATCTCGATTCCAAACGTGCTCTTATGAATCCGTCGCGTTTTTCTGGACCGCAAACCGCTTGGGAAGCTTCTGTAACTAGCTTAATATGCCTCTCCACCGACTGAGTGTGACAAGGATAGCGGGCGAAATCCAGTCTTGGTGTATCTTCTTCCCGGATCATGGTTAAAAAAGTATCGTCATCAATGTCCATTACGATTGGAGTTTTTTGCCAATCGATCATGTCTATGTAACTGGTAGCTTCAAAATTGATTACTGGCACACAGAAAGATCTAACTGAACTTGTGCGCTTCTGCTTCCTGGATTTCATTATACGTCTCAGAGCCAAGTCGCGTATTTCTGATTTTTTGTCGGTAAGCATCGCAAGCAACAGGTTTTCTGGATGAGTAAAAAATGCGTTGCGCTGAATTACTGGATCAACAACTTTCTTCAGCTCGTCTGTGAGGTAGCGTGATTTCAGTATTGTATTATGGACATGTCAAGCGCCTTCTTTACATGAAGAAGTATTTTTTATTTCAAACCATCCTGGTGCATAAACTGTTACAATGAAGGTAACCATTGTCTTCAATTCATCCGATGGGCATCTTGTGGCTATATACAGGCGTAGTATTCGATTAGCCGTTGTTTACCATCTTGAATGATTGATAACACCAGGATTGCAAAGTGAAAGGCCTACAGGACAAACGCCAACACTGACAGCGGTGCACAAGTCAAACAGATATTTTTGATCTGTACTTAAATCGTCAGAATTAAAACCTGTCGGTAGAACACAGTTTATGGGTGCGTATTTGACAACGGGAAGCTTCTCACATGCCACCAATGATTTTCCGATTGGACCAGAAAATCCTTTTGGACCATTGGTAGGTCCATCTAGATGTTCGAACAAATGCCTTAACGGTAATTCGTTAGCATGTAGCTGACATACGAACCATTGCAATGGTTTGTTTAACGCCACTTCAAGTAATCGAATGATACCTCCTCGATTGCCTGTATTAGCAACGGTTCCGTCACAACCTACAGCTTTTATACCACCCAGGTCAACATTCTTTTTACTCAAATATGCAATCAACTCAGCCGAAATAACTTTGCTTGACCCTGCAATTGGTGTAATGTGGCCAAAATAGATGGATCCTGGTTCGGATATAATGGATATATGTTCTTCAGTTGTTAGTTTTCGATGAAATTTCCCATCACAGGGTTATTGTACTGTCTTTTCTTCCATCAAAATATAGCCCAGTGATTGTGTTACTGACATTGGCACATAATGTTCCACGTTTTTTAAAATGCTCTCGTCGTACTTTACTTCTGTCAATCACTTTAGAAACATCCCTTTCGTGGATTATTCCAACATCTTGAAGAACAGCACTGGTGATTCCTGCTGCAGCCCTGTCGCATACACCATGTCGATCACATGCTAACGCCAGAGATGGTAACTCAACTCTCATCTGCTTGTCACTCACCTTTCTAAATTGTTCATTAGGATCCGGCATACAATCGTCATCAGATTCGTCATCGCTAGCATCAGTTTTCTCTTCCGTAGAAGAAAACTTCTCACAAACATCTGACTGTTTCTCACTGATGTCATCAATGTCAGATTTGCTGCACATCTGCCTCTGCGTCAACTCTTTACGAATATATCGTTTTTGCAATTTGATGGATTCGGCCTCATCAACTTTAGCAATGATCATATCTCGTGGACCCCGCTGATCTTCTAGAAAATCACGTTCAATTGCGGGTATCTTTCTTGACTTTTCCCACTGACACTGAAATATGAAAGAACACTTGCAGGAGCAAATGTCAAAGAGTTTTTTAGATTCATTTTTAAACTGAGATATTTTCTCTCGGTATGGTCCGGAGTCTTTTCTAGACTTATATGGCTTCAGCAAATTCATGAACGTCTTGTGGTACTTGTTCAACATTTCTTGGACACGGCGGTGGCTTACATGTGGTATAGAAGCTTTGTCCCATATTTGTTCCACTTTTGTTGTCACTATTTCTGCCACATTGTGATGTGGTGGATCTTTATTGCTCAATTCATATTTAAGTTTCTGTTTTGTCAGATTGTAAAACTTCATAACATCTGCATAAGTAGGTAGTTGATTGTCAGGCATTTCAGAGGGAGCATCAAAAATGACACAAGATACTTTTTTCCTGGTTACAGCCATTAAATATGAATTGTTATTATAAATGAATTAAAGTATTATCTTATATGAATAAAATGTTTTGCAATAAACGCTGTTTGTTTACTCTAGACAGGAAAAACACACGTGAATACGTATAAAAGTGAACTACAATATAAAAATACCGGATAGTAAATGCTTATAAATGGTTAAATTTTGAGTTTGGTTGTGGAACCTCAAGACGTTACCTAAATTAATTTTTTTTTTACAGAGTAATTGATTGTATCACAGAGCAAGTTTTAATAACTATCCAAAGTCAAGCATCTCAAAAAAAATTTTTTTTCACGTTTTCACTCCACCCTAATATAAATATATATATATATATTTATTGAAAAAATATGTAATATATAAATATATATATAGTATATATCAAAATAAATATAATATAAATATATATATATAAAACCACTTATTTAACTTCTACTTATCAAGTTTCTAATGTCAGTTTCTCAGGTGGGGATTTTAAATTATTTTTGCTTCAAAGTATGATATAATAATTAGTAAATCTGCAGAACAACTTAATACCTGTAATACTTCACTTAATTAACAAAAGCTGATGGTCAAAGTGCATTTTCCTGTATTCCTTTGTTGATGAATTGGTTACTTTAATCAGTGTAAACTTCACATTTGGTATGTTGATCAAGGCCTATGAGAGAGAGGGGGGGGGGGGATTTAGCTAAATCTTTACAACTAGAAGCTTTCTTTTTTTTATTTCTAGTTTTTCTTATAGTTTTTATCTTCTTTTTTTTCATAAACACTTTAGTATTAACTTCATATAGGGTTTCCTTATCAGGTTTTTTTTATTTTCTTTAAAATTTTGAAGGAAAATTTTAGAAAAAGATCAAAAATAAATATTCCAAAAGTCTAGGTCTAGAAATCTCCAACTTTACTTTGGGCTCAAATTCTCTCTCAAAGGCCTTGATAGAAAATGTATCCATTTTATTCATACATCATAACATCACATTTTACGTTTGTTATTTTCACAAATTTCTTTGATTCACTGATTTTTTTTGTTAAACATGTTTGTTTTTTAAGTAATCCTAAAATTTGCCATTTTACCGTTTCTGATTTTTTATGTCTTCATTTTACTGTTTATGATACAGCTTTTTATATCTTTATTTTACTGTTATTTTACTGATTCTGAAAAACTCATTTTTTTCAATTTCAATTATCAATAACTATTTAACAAGATAATAAAAAAATATAATATAAAATATATTAAATTATTTTAATTACATTATACTATATTAATAGAATTAAGTAAAGCTTTATGAAAAAAAAAATTAAATTATTTCAGAAAAACATTTTTTGTTGTATTACTTAAATACTACTCAATAATAAATATAAAAAATAAAAAAGTATACCAAAATAAAATTAAAAAATTTAAATTAACAAATTAAAGTTAAAAATAAAACATTGTTGTCAAAAATAAAACTTAAATCATGAACTGATAATCATCTGTATTTAGAAATTTGAAATCTGTATTTAAATTATAAACTAAATTCCACTATAGTTTGCAATATTCAGCAAATTTTTCAACTATTTACAAATAATTTTGAAACAGCTGAAAATACTGCTGTAAATAAAGGTCAAACTTTAGGTGGTAAATATCCATGCCTTAAAAAAAAAGAAGTGAGATGTTATTTTCACCATATATAGAAGCATAGAAATAGACAATCAGCTACTTGTTCTTAATTTTCTACTATATATGGCTGTAATCTTCATTGACACTTTTGTTAAAATATTTTGCAGAGTAGGTAACTGCATTTTCTAAGCAAAGTGCTGCATTAAAAAATATTAAAGTGCATTAACAAATGAAATGTAACCTTGCAACAACGAGTTGTTGATTTTGGGCACAAAAAAGTGACAGCAACATTCACAACTTTTGTCATTTTTTGTTCAGTAATGATGCTCTCTTGTTCATCATATGTTTATTATATATATGTCAGGTTTAAAAAAACATGTTACAAAATACAAACATTTTTTTTTCTATAGCAAAAATTGTTATAGAAAAAAAAAAAGATTTGACTAAAGATTTAATTTAAATCATAAAAATTATATATTCATTTTTTTATCAATTAAAACTCATCAGAAGTGCGAATATATTTGTAAAACTATTATTATTCTGAATAATAATAGTATAGTATATAAATATGTATTTATATTTTATATTACTTAACATTTGGAAGTTTTTCATAGAATCTTTGTATTGTTTTTTTCTTTCTGATTTTGATTGGTTCCAAAGTTATTACGGAAATACTAAATGGGGGAATTTCGCCACCTATTTATATTAAATAGAAATGCGCTTTGATTAGATAATTAATATTATTTCCCTTCCTCTTGTTTTGGTTATTAATTTCACAAGTCATGTTGTTCTTATAATCAATTCAAATTAATTAAAATCATTCAATTATCAGCAGCAATGCCGCAAAATTACAAGAGAAAATCTGTCAACAATTATAGCAAAGAGCTAATGGAAAAAGCCATTGCAAAAGTTAAAGCTGGTGAACTGAGTTGCAAGCAAGCTGTATACCTCGAAGGACACTAGGCGGAAGCATTCATTATCCAAAAAGGATAGCTGGGGCTGGTACATTAACAAGTCTCCTAAAATATCCTACATTTCTAAATAAAAAGAAGAAAAAATAGGTAAAAAAAGGTTGAGGGGAGGACATGCCCCGATATCTCTCGGTATCGATGACCATGCCCTAATTTATTGAATATTCTTAGATTTCTTTTTATTTAATTGATTGTAAATGTCCTTTTAAGATTTACAATTTAAAATCTATGTTGTAAATAACATAGGTGGCAAATTTCTCCCAAATTAGATTTTATTGGGGTATATTCACCACCCAATTTTTTCTGTTCTAACTATTTAAAAAAAAAAAAGTATGTAAAGTTTATAAAAATATTATTAACAATAAAAAAACTGATTTTCACTTTTAGTTCTCAAGTTATCAAGATATTATTAATTTTGGACAAAATTAATAATATCCTTAGAAATAAATTAAATTTGCAACAGTGGAAAAATACCAATGATGTTATAAATTGGTTCTCCATAATCAAAAATAAAAATGACTGTACATTTATTCAATTTGACATTAATGGTTTTTATCACTGAATAACTACAGATATTATAGATAAAACAATTGAATTTGCAAAAAGCCACAGTTATTCCTGAAGAAACAATCTGTATAATAAAGCATTGTAGACAAACTATACTTTATTTTAATAAGGAAACTTCGAAAAAGAAAAACATACATGCCTGCTTTGATGTAACAATGGCAGTTATGATGGAAGAGAAATTTGTGAATTTGTTGGACTATATATTTTAGATTTATAAGTGAAATAATCAATATAAACAATTTAGGCCTTTATCGCGATGATGGTTTAATAGTAATGCATGAAAATTCTGGTCCATAGCTCAATAAAATGAGAAAAGATATTATAAAAATTTTTTTAAATATTGGCTTTCCAATCGAAATAAACATAAATTTAAAAATTGTGAACTTTCTTGACGCCACATTTAACCTCCCTGAAAATTCATAAAAGCCTTTCAAAAAACCAAACAATGAATTATTGTATATTAATATTAACTCAAATCATCCACCCAAAATTTTAAAACAAATTCCGATTTCAATTAATAACAGGCTAAACCAAAACTCCTCTAATGAAAATGTATTCATTTCCTCTAAACAAATATTTGAAGATGCCCTTAAAAAAAGTGGTTTTAAAAATTTTTAACTAAAATTTGACCCTGAAAAGAATACAAAAAAGCGAAATAAAACTAGAAATGTAATTTGGTTAAACCCCCCCCCCTTCCCCATATAGCAAAAATGTTTCCACTAACATAGATAAAGTGTTTTTAAAATCAGCCGATAAGCATTTCCCGCCCTCTAATAAATTACATAAAATTTTTAATTGAATTACAATTGTCCAATGAGTGGAAGTTAAATGGGTGAATGGAAAAAACGTTTTGCCAATCATAAGCAATCCTTTAAAAATAAAAAGTATTCAAAAGACACCATGCTGTCAAAATATATATGGGAATTAAAAGGTAAAAATATTGATGATTTTATAATGAATTGGTCCATCCTTAAAATAGCACACGCTATAATATATAACAATACTTCCAAAAAATGCATACTATGCCTACAAGAAAAATTTGAAATTATTACAAATGCAAACCAAGAATGTTTATTAAACAAGAAATCGGAATTAATTTCTAAATGCAGGCACAAAAATAAGTTTCTCCTAAAAAACCATAAAAATAAGTGAGCTCAAATAACAATTACATTTAATAAAATATTTAAAAAAAAAGCAGAAGTAATCAATTCTAAAAAATTCTTTTTATAGTGTCATATTCCACATATGTGTGAAAATTTACAGTAGTTATCACATTTGTGACTTCATGTAATTTAATTTTTTGGTATAAAATGAAATTTTATTAATTTGACCATTCATTTCTGATGAGTCTTTATTGATGAAACACAGTGTTGAATAAAAAAAAATTTTTGTTAAGTGATTTTCTATTACTTTATATATATATATATATATATATATATATATATATATATATATATATATATATATATATATATATATATATATATATATATATATATATATATATATATATATATATATATATATATATATATATGTATATATATGTATAAAGTAAATACTTGTAAAAACTTGTAAATGAACAAACACCAAATATAAAATAAAAGTGTAAAATAAAAAATTAGCTATAACTATATAATTGCAAAGTTAATAGGAACTTATCAAACTTTGATACATACAATTTATCATTAACAAGCAAAATGTTTAACAAAATATAAAAACCTGCTAAATATTCTTGAAAAAAACAGCGATGAAGCAATTAATCCAGCATCTGTACCTAAATATATATGATCATACATTTAAGTATACAATTGTAATTAAAAACCTAAAGTGAAAATTTTATAAAAAAAGGTAAAAATAAACGAAATAAAATAAAGGAATCTATACCAATAAATATACGCAACATTTGTGCCAATAAATATAAAAAAATGAATTCAAAAAAAAGTAGTTTAAAAAAAAATTATAAAATTCCTGATACAAGTCTTGCTCTGTATCATGAAAAATTGATAGATCAAAGCAAAGAGTAAGGGAGGCCTGTAAAGAGAAACAAAAGATTGAAGTTAAATAAAAGTATATACGATGTATTATATTTGATGGTAGAAAAATAACAAAAACAGTTGAATATAATAAAGATGGCAAATATTATGAAAGTAAGATTGAAGATCATTTTGTTTTTGTTGTTGATTTGAAGGAGATTCAAACCCACACAATCATGGTTGAATCTTGCAAATAGACTACTTTAAATCTGGTGCTCCGAGGATATATTAAAAAACAAAAATCTCAACAACTTGAAATTACCAGCAGAGTTCATCATAGGAGTTTATTATGTTATGTGATTTGAAAGTAAGGCAATTTACCTAATTTAATAAATAAATACTGAATACAAATTTATAAATTTTATTTGTTAAAAACTAAATTTACATTTTAAATTGTAATTTATTAATGCATATATTTTATACATTTATTTATTTTAGATAAAAAAATAGCTGAGACAATGATCCATGTCATATCAAACAGCTAGCTTTTTAAAAACCAGAAGAAACATGTGCAGGATATTCTACTAATATGTGTCTGCTTATCCACCTGGAATGAACATAGTGAATGCATTCATCAGACAAAGCTCTGTCGTTTAGATGAACAAGAAAGGAGATTTGCTATGCTTAAATCATTGATATAAGAAACAAGACATAAGACAAAAGAGGCAGTAAATGTTGAAATGGAAAAATACTAACAATAAATGCTGAACCAAGTAAACTGATAGATTTATTTAATTGGAAACAGAGAAGATCGGTGATTTGGTTCTAACTTTAATAAAGAAAACCCATTCTCAATATTATATGGTCAGTATTATATGGTGTTATAAGACTAGAAAAATGGCCAGCCAAACCTAAATTCAAAATATTTTTGACTCACTCTAACATATATAAATATATGTGTGTATATAGATTAGCAAATGCTTACTCATTTTGGTTATCTTTATAGCATACAGCTTTATTTGGAAAAGAAGAAAAAAATGAAAAATAATAAAAAAGTTGCTACCCAAACCCTCAGTTGACGTAGCAGCACTCCTTTGCCACAATAGGCTGTATATCAATATATGTACTGAAGCTCTCAGCAGCAAGCTATTTCAGTATGTTAACAGTCATGTTACCTAAATACTCATTTATACTTTTATATATTACTTACAAAGCCAGTGTTCTACCACTAAACCACTACCACATTTCAATCAGCTTACAGTTATTTAGTTAATTATTGCACAAATGTCTTAAAAACAAGCACTATTTTGCTATTAATAGATTATGCCTAAGCATGTTTTAAATCTAGTTAACAGTATATGAACTTTATTATTAAATAAAAATAATAAATTATTAATATATATTATAACTTTATAGTTACCTGCTTGAACTTCTGATGCTCCAAATGACTAAAAAAAAAAAAAAACATAAGAAGTATAACAAATTTAAAAAAATAATAAACTTTAAATATTAAAAAACTTTAAAAAAAATTATTAACTGTTAAAACGCTATTTAACACTATCTAAAAAAAGGTTAACTATTTAGTAATTCTTATTAGACATGTGTTTACATTATTTTTTGATTATCTTCTATATATTTTATCTACTTTGAAAATATATAACCCTTTTTTCTATTCTTACTCTTTTACTTATAATTTTACTAGTTGTTCTATTTCATTTTATTTAACACTTATTTTACTATATAAAATAGTTTAAATCAAAAAAATGAAATTACCTTGACAAGTTTAGGCAAGTAAGAAAAAACAGTTGTCATTGTCATGGCATCAATAAACTAAAAAAAAAAACAAATATGATAAGATACATACTCTCACGCAACACAGTAGACAAGTACAGTTACAATTAAGCAGTACAGTTTAAATAATTAGCTCTTGAAAAATAGTTTTTTTTCCAAATGAAATTAAAAGATTAGGCATGCCTAGATATCTAAATACAAAAGAATAACACAAATACAAAAATACAAATACAAAAGAATAACGCAAAAGAAATGTCTTTGTATCAATTAAAACAATATGTTATGCTTTTATTGACTAAATAAGGAGCCCATTTGCAAAACACGCCAAGTCCAAGTTTTAAATAAATCCAAAAAACTAATAAAAACTGAACTACTACTACAAGATAAAATTTAGTTAGTATTATACAAACGTTGTAAGCATTTATTAAAACTACATTGTATAACCAACAAATTATTATTATTGCATTATAGATTATTAATGCATGAAATTTTTTGTAGTGACAAAAAAAAATTAAAAAATGTCTTATTCAGTAGGCTTCATTTTATTATCATTAGTAAGTTATCAACTATATATACAAACTAAAAAAAATATCAATTAAGTCATAGAGTTAGGTGTATTACTTTTAAAGAGAACATTTTTTTTCCAATTTTTTTTTTTTATATTTTTACGACTAAAAACAACCATTTTATTGGAATAAAAAGCTATTTATGTCTGTATTTAAATATAAAAGATATATTAGGGATATTTATTAGAAATGAAAAGATAATGCTAGTAAAAAACTTACGAATAGGAATGTTAAAGCAAAAATAATAGCATGCTTTAGTGGATTCATTCCATCACTATAAATCAAACGCTGAAAAACTAACTTAAAATTCATAGTACGTTATAATAATCGACAATATTTTACTTTTGAAAGCGATTTCTAACTAATTATCTTTGAAATCTCAAATGATTTTAACGTACAAAACGTCTTAACATTTAAACCTTGACCTTTTGAATATTTGAAGATTTCGTTGATCATTTATTAATTTCTCAAAATAAACTACCCAGTTATTATTTAAAGAATAACTGTGCAGTTATTACTTTGATATATTATATAACAAAAACAACTTATGCATACATGTGTAATTTAAATCAACAGATACAACACGTGCAGCTCAAATCAATACGAATAAGATTAAAAGGGAAATCAGGTTTGTAGCTTTACGTCAGCGTCTCATAAGAAACATGTTTGCGGCTCGTCGTCACGAATATTTTCAATGCGTTCACGTATTGTTCAAGGGGAGGGGGAAATAAAAGAAGGATGGAGGGGGAGATTTTAGTCCCTATCTAATAAACCAGAAAAGAAGGGGGAAGGGGGGCTAAAGGGGAAGAATATAATTGTGATAATGTGCGAGAAAATAAACTAGATGTATAAAACTTTTCATGGCATGGAGGAAGAGATACAATAAAAGGATGCGACTTTGCTGAATGACAAGCCTCGTAAGAATGAGTTTTGGTTTATTGAACTCGAGATCATGCCTCGTTTGAGCAGCAACCATGACAGTATTTGTAGAAAAAAATAAAGAGATGCAACCTTGGACTTATAAGATAGTGGCTTAAGCTTGGAAGATAAAGCAGGTCCAACTATATTTATAATGTGCTTTTATATAATGCCCTTATGGTATGGATGATTGAAGAGAGCTCTGGAGAACACTTTTGTAAGATTATGATAGAAATGTTGTTTGAACCACAAGCTCTAGGAAGTTAAAATTGAGAGTTTACTTTAGTGTTGGAAGCTGGAGTGATTTGGATGTCTAACAATGACTTAATCTGTTTTACAGGAATGGTAGGAAAAGTATGACCATTAAATCACTCATAGATCCATGAGTTTGAAATAGGGTTTGCAATCCCAGATCCCAGGATACTCACCTAATTATTTAACCCCTAATTCCCGAAATTATCTTTAAAATATCCAGGAATTTTGAATTTATAAAACTACGATTAATACCTGCGTTTTAATTGAGTCAAGTTAAACAAAAGTAACAACAAAGCTATAAAATTTAGTACTAATGCAATGCAATGTTTTTATTATTGATTTATAAGTTCAAAGTAAGTTTAACCAATCTTGCATATTGTGAGAATTACTTAAATCTTATATATTGTGAGCGTTTATTAGGAAAGAGTAAGAAACTAATTTTAATTGTTAAAACTAAAATATAATAATAATATAAATAAGATGTAATAATGACAATAATGAAAAAAATTTATTTGTATTGATTTATATCGTGTTTTTGTAATAATGGAGTGTATTTATTTAAATTTATTGAACTTTAAAATTTCAGCTTAATAAGAAAGTTAAAATAGTTAATAAATTTTTATATTTTCTTTGATTTGTCAAATTAAGATACAATGTCAAATTTCATAGAGTTCAGTGGCAAAACCTATAAATAGAAACATTTTCCGCGCAACAATAAAAGTGAAACACCAATGTGTAAACCAAGCCATCGCAAAAAAGTATTGAAAATTACGGGGAGTCAACAAAAGCTCTTCATTTTTATATTCTTCAGTTACATAAAATAATTTTAAAAGCAGAACTGACACGTTTTCCGACATCGTAAGAAGAACCACAGAGTAAAAAAAGTAAAATTAGTTTATATTTTTCATCAAATATTAATAAAGAAGACAGCTTGTCTGAGGTGCTTGCAAGATTAACAGCTAAAGGTGGGATTACTTTTAACGTAATATGCACTTCTATTGATATACGTGCTGGACCGGCTATTAGGCGATTTGTCAACATACCTAAATCTTCAAACACTGTTAAAAAACGGTACTTGATTTCTCTAACAATATAAAGAATAGTATAAGTAACAAATTAAGACAAAAAATTATGAGTGGAACTAAGTTTTTAATTTCTTTTGATGAGTGGATGTCGATTCGAAATACCCGTTATTTAAATATCAATTTACACGATAGAGACAATTTTTGGAGTTTGGGTTTAGTAAGGATTGTAGAGACAATGCCAACTGAAAAGTGTTAATTTTATTTAAAGAAAAACTTTTTTTTTTAATTTGTTATTTAGGTGTCCCAATAAGTCCTAATGGTCTTGTCACAGAGCACCGCGATAGTGCATTTAACCAGGAAGTTCATGCCTCCTTTTTTATTCTCTAGCAACTGCGGCCGTGGCGCAGTGGTTAGAGAATAAAAACTCTCCGCGTTTGGCCAGCCTAATGTAAAAAATTGGAAAACTATTACAGATTAATCAATAGCTATGCTTAACTCACGGTATTTAACTGGCAATTATTTCAGTTTTATATCATACGTCAGCATCGAATTGTACGCAGAGACATTTTATACATCAATTTAAAAAGTACGCAGAGACATTTCATACATCAAAAAGTACGCAGAAATATTTCATACATCAAAAAGTACGCAGAGACATTTCATACATCAAAAAGTACGCAGAGACATTTCATACATTAAAAAGTACGCAGAGACATTTCATACATTAAAAAGTACACAGAGACGTTTCATACATCAAAAAGTACGCAGAAACGTTTCATACATCAAAAAGTACGCAGAAACATTTAGTTGAGGAAATTGATAATCACAATGAAAATTTGGAAAATGAATTTGAATTTAATAAAAGCTGTGAATCAGATAGCAACGAAGATGGTGATGAGAGTTCCTTTATAGTGAATAATCAAATAATTAAAGACGTATTAGTTACAAACAAAGCAATTTGTCCAGTGATTAATAAAGTTAGAAAAATCGTTATGGTTTTTATAAGATCCCCAACTAAAAATGATTAAATGTAACAAATTTAAATCATCCTACAAAATCCTTGGACAACGTTGAAGATTTAATAAGTCAAGAAGATGATGAAATACCGAAAAGCGCAGATAATGAACGTTTAATAACTTCTTAGTTTAGTATTAAACGGAATTATATAAAGATCCCTAACACAGCACTAGTATTTCTTCAATTTTACGTATTTTTCGCTGCTACATCTGCAAACATGTCTGCTCACCTTCAATATTTGATCAAATTTAACTGTTTGACTCCAAAAATGGCTAACTTAGTATGTGACCTTATAAAATTTGGAGAACCAGGTATAAGGTTATGATTAAAACTTTTTGATTTTTTTTAGAAATACTAATTGTTGAAGTACCTGTTAGTAGTATATTTGTAGGTGGAAAAAAAGATTCTACTTTGGCTTTGCTTAAATACAGAATTTGAATTAATACATAATGAAACCTCTATTGTTAATTTTGTTCACTTTCTTAAATGGACTAATCTAAACTATTTTAAAACAAACATATTCGTAAGGTTTTAATATATTAAAATCTTACAAATTTTTTGGTTTTTTGGTATGTTTAACCGAAATTTTGCCTTTTACCGAATTTATAAAAAGGATATTTCGGCATCGATTCGCATTAAAATTTCGGCCGAAACCGATATTAAAAAGTCTCCTTGTGCACAGCATTTAAATATACAATAAATGGCTAAAAAGCTTATATTATATCTTTTCTTAAACAGTAAAAACGAAGTTTTTACACTCAAAGCAATTTACTTCCATAATCTCTTTATAGTCGTTTGAATAAATTACCAAAGAGACGTTTCAGCTTTTATATAATACCAAAGAGAAACGTTTCAGCTTTTATATATTATTAAAAAGTCTCCTTGTGCACTAAAAGCCCTATAGTATTAAGCTAAAACTCAAAACTCGTAAATAATAAAATCCCAAATATTTGTTAACAAAATCATACAATAAGTTTCAAGGTTTAAAAAAAAACAACCTCAAAATAAAACGGCATTTTTTGAAAACGAAGGGGTCTAAACGCGATATTTTACTTCGGACCTCTCCTTAACTGCGTTGGGGGCATCAAAGGCTCTGTAGGCACCCGCGTATTAGCCGCGAATAAATCTAATTCAAGAACTAACTCTTACCTTATTTATTATGTTTATTTATGTTTAACGCAAATCAATTTTTAATGTAGCCAATAACAAGTTTGTTTATTTTATAAAACTATGTTGTCTGATAAGTTGTAAATTTAATTTTGTATTGTTTTTATTTTCACATTGTTTATTTAAAATATTACGATTTACAGGTTCATTTTTAACTTTTAAGTTTAAAGAATTTTAAATACATATATTTTTCATTTATTTGCCTTTGATAAAAAACTACAATAACAGAATAACCTTATTAAAATTATAATCTGGAGGACTTCCAGAAGATCATACGATCTTATCACGAAACCCTTTACAATATCAAATATAAAAATAATAAAAAAATCAAATTAAACAATAAAAATAAATTAACATAAACTATATATAACTGTGCATTTAAAGTAAAAATACACTGGATAAAATATACAAAGCAAAAGAACTAAAAAGAGGAAAAAGTATTTTCTGTTGAAAATAAAACTTCTTCTAATTTCCGTTTGATAGAAAATAAAGTCCATTTCCTTAACAAATCAAAAATCGGCACAACTATTTTATTCCATAAAATTTTTTTTAAACAATAAATTCAATGTCGCTTGATTTTCGATTGACGATTTATTTGATTTGATTTTCTATGATATCAAAGAGAAAACACAACGTTAAAGAGCAATAATCTAAAATTACTTCATTTTATAAAGTTTGACCACAGACTTGAGAAACTTTGTGCTACAAGATACTGTTCAAGCTTATTTAAATATTTTAGATAATTATGATAATTTATTTTCGCTATGGAGTACTTGCTTACAAAACTGTTAACTTGAATAAGATCTCAACAGTGCCGTTTTGCCCCATGAGGCCAAAAAGTTCAAAGGGTCAAAGCGTCTGAGTAAATTAAAAAAAGAAATTTATTATTTGAAAGAAAAAAATATTGTATAAACAAAAAATAAACGGAAAAAAAATTTTCAGCTAAAGAAAAAAAATTGACACTTTTTCTAAATTTATCACGTTCTTTCTGCTTGAAAAAATTTCAGACCTACTAGTATTTAAATTTAAAAGCAGTTTAGGATTTTTTTGACTATTAAAAACCATACATGTACACCCTAAATAC